GAAGAGGTTTACTCACATAAGTCTGCAACCCATTTCTTCTATTTATAACTGCTTACTCTTCTTTCACTTTTTGCCTTTAACCGTCGAATTACGCGATCAATAATGACTTATTTGTTTGGTCGTAAAATATCCGTTAAATGCGTAAAAACACACGCGCAACCCTACACTCAGACTGATTTTTAGTCTTCACAGGCACAGGATTACGACGGATATCCTACCGGCTGCGCCAGTCAAATCGCGACGGTATTTAAAGGTTTTTTAAAAAGGAAAACTTTATTAACACTTAGTATTCTTAACTAATAGTCGATGTTAGACTCTAATTCTAAGGTGGTCGATGTTAGACCCTAATCCTAAGGTGGTCGATGCAAGACCCTATCACTATGGTGGCCGATATTAGACTGGCTTTAATATAATTATATTCTTACAGCTAAAAACCCTTACATGATTACTAAGCATTCGTGGTACATGATAGAATAATAAAACTATGCATTCATTGTAGTGATTGCATTAACGCTTATGGTGCGTTCTGGGTATATGTGTGACATTGTAACTAGCTAGAAAAACAGAAACCCAAACAAAATTTATGAATTTTTTTTAAGAGTAAATAAGTTTTAAATAAAACAATATATGTATGTACATAATATATGTCGTGCAAATATTTTTATTATATTACATATTTACTACATTCTTACTTGCTGTGACTTGTTATTGCTGCGTATAAGAGAGAAACGCTACCCATGTACCTGCATTAGCGAGAAACTCGGGTTAGTGAGAAACCTCTATAAGCGAGAATGAGATTGAGTTCCCTTGAACTCTCGCTTATCCAGGTTTGACTGATGAGTACTTTAGTTTGAGGCACCCTGTGTCTTTTAAAAATACAGACACATCTCGTCAGTCAGTGTCTGAATAAAACGTCTTAAAATTCCTCGCCAATGTCTATTTATGGCCATGCCAATGGTAATTAGCAAAACATTGAACTTGATTCTTTCTGCCAAGTCACGCGTCAATTGTCACACTTTTTTGAAACAATTACGCATTGTTTTTTTAACTAACTGCTTTGAGCAAATGTTTATTTTAGAATTTGTATGTTCTTAAATTATATTGCTTATTAACATTAGTATTGTGTTAATATCTACGTCTACAATAAAATTTTTGTTTTAAGCATGCAATTAATACTAAAAAACAAAAACAAATAGGCTCCAAATATGATATCGGTGTCAAGACTCTTGGCCGTGGGGTTCTAGCGCTATAAGGCTTTTTAAAGAGATAGCAAAGACGTTAGTCGACATCACAGGAGACCGAAGAGCTGGCAGCTACCTCGGACAAAGATTTAGCCTAGCTATTCAAAGGGGGAACGCTGCCAGTATCTTCGGAACCTTGCCTAAAGGAACTCCTTTTAATAATATATTTTAGTTATTATATTTTAAGGTTAGCTATTGTGTTTTGTTATTTTTATGTTATCTGTTTAATATAATTTTATAAATATTGTATATCAATGATTTTTTGTTTTAAACAACGGTTTTCTTACATTTTCAGTAGAATGAATGTTACCAACCAAATAAAACGATTTCAATTGTTTCTGCTGCTCTTTCTTCTAATCAAAACATTAAAAAAAAACAAAAAACTTGGCGATTAAAAAGAGTGGCGGATAGTTTATTGCCAGTTCTTCTCTTCCGTTCTACGCCCTTGATTTGAGAACTGGCAGTAAATGTAAAATTAGAAGCATTTAATGCATATATTTCTTTTTTGACGTTTATAAGTGTACATTGTGTATATGAATAAATGATTTTTGACTTTTGAATCTGTACTTTCATCCCATCTCTTGTTAACAACCGAAACAAACGAACGACAGTTTTGAGAGAGAATGCTCTTAGGTCGTACGGGGTCACAAGCCAGCAGTAAAATGCCTACAATATCAAATTACCAACATAAGGAAATTCTATCTGAAATAACGCGTACCCATTAGCCGTATATTATTAGTATACCTTATTCACAATATGTGATCAGATCAATTAAAAACTACTAGTAACGTGAAGTAATATTTATTTCCAAAAAAATTTTTTTCTTACAATAAAGTTCACAAGAAAAGAGTGACTTTCCATGAATTACAATCTAACCTATACAATAATTATGGCTAATTAGTAATATTTTTTTGACCTAATTTTAAACTAAGGTAATGTTCGTTAACAGTCTTAGTGTTCTATAATATTTTCCAAAATTAAAAAAAAAATATAGCGAACTCAGGTTGCTTACTTATATTCGTCAAGAAATCGATTATTAAAATATTGTTAACGTATTTTTTAACTACACGTATCTCATTTATAAACGTCGATAAAATAGACAAATTTAAACGCGGATCGTTAAGAGTTTAATTCTTTCGCTTACATCACAATCAGGAAGTGGGCATTGTCAGTTTCTGCAAAACAAAAGCGCGAATCTAAAACTAACCAGCGATTCCATCGCTTCATTTGTTTGGACTAATGTTCTAACAATATTGTGAATGTAGTAATGTAGACGTTTCAATAAGTTTTCAATTGGCACCGATGTTATATTTTTGTACTCTCAATGCCACGAGGCCATTGCTTCAATGAAATTAGTCATTACTTCCATTGGTATTGGGTAATTGCAACTGTTTTTAGATCAAGGTTTAAATTATTAATCAGTTCACGAGAATGAAACAGATGCAGAATTGGAAGAAAGGATCAATTCTAAATTCATCTCTTACTGTGAAGGAAACATCGTGAGGAAACGGAATTCTTTCGAATTCTTCGCGATTTTAACGGATTGAACGGTGCCTATCCGGAGCTGGATATATTCGGTAGTGGGCTGATCGGTTTTAGAGAAAGCATTGTTGGGTGCGTATCTCGAACCTCATTCGCTGTTTTGCTGATGATATTTTTTTCTGCTTTACCAAACATTTCTGGTAACTTTCTGGTAATCTTGTATATATTTTAATTGTATTTTTTTATATTTTTTTTTAAACACTTATGTTTACTTCAATTGTCATACATTTTAGGTGGAAGATTTTGTAAAATACGCCGTAGATTTAGTACTATGTATGATGTGGTAAACTTTAATATATAAATAATAAAACCGGCATGCCTTAGATCCAATAAGTCAACAGAAACAGGTGACATAAGCTGATCACCTATTAAGAAAAAAAATGACGAAACAGATACAAAAATCTGATGCCAAAAGCAAGGGTTGTAGCGCCATTGGTTACCTTTTGCATCTTAGCAATTCTAACACTATTTATTGTAACTGGGTGTTATATACCATTTGACGGTAGACTTTTAATTAAACTCATTAATTCGTTTAATTCACACACCCGTACCCATATTCACACACCTACAACCACACATGCTTTAGTTTTGTTTTGTTTGTTACTTTAGTCATGTCTTTGTATATTTTCTATCCGCGATGGAAAGCTGATGAGCCCACACACTGTGACCACAGGATTATAGTCCTATTATAAGTGTCACCGTAAAATTGTAAACACCGTTAGATTGTAATTTATCTCGCGAGATTGTAAACTGTCGAAAGATTGTGAACCTCAACGAACTGCTTACAATTTAACGTATTATTATTCGGTAGATTGTAATCTATCGAAGTGAAACCGTCAAATTGTGAAACGGTCATTTTCTACTTTTCTATTGGTTAGTTCTTTCGACAGTTTATAATCTCGCTAGATAGATTACAATCTAACGGTTTTTACAATTTACGTTAACATAAGCACCAGCCTTTCACAAAGATGGTCAATACCTGCAGTAAACCTGTAAAATGGAATATTGTGAAGAGGCAAAAACACTATATTATTATCTTTATACAGTAGTAGAAGTAACTACTTCAATGAGACTTTTTTTTAAATTGTAAATATTAAAGCCAAAGGCTTCGTCTTTCGTGTAACAACCTCTGACCACGCTTGATTTTACCTCGCGCATTTATTCTTCAAAATTATAATTCTTATTAGGCAAGTAAATAAATCTGTAGATTCAAGAGAAACGTAATCGAATACAAGATTCAATGTTAAAGGCAACGCATTTGCGAGCCAGGCTTGCACTTAACATCAGGTGAGCCTCCTGCCCGTTTGCTTCCTGTTACATAAAAACTAGTTCTAGAGCAAGTGATGAAATTGGTCAAATATGTGATAATTAAAACAAATATTATATAAAATTTATTTATTTGGTCCCTCTTCAAAATAGAATATACATATCACAATCGTATATTCAACAAATACATTTTGCACACATTTTCAGTCTTATAAGTACCTAATCTATTCCTTAAAATATCAATAACTAGTTCTTATAACATCAAGCAATCTTAATTTTAAATTGTGTTAACAAGTATATGAACTGATAGTGGGAATATACTGATAGTATGAAGGAAAGAACATATCTCCCAAATTACACTGTAATTATACTTTGCTGTATATCCGAAGGTATACTGTAACAGCTAGCGCAATTGACTTTTAAATATCTTTTTAGACCAAAAATTAAACTGAAATTATTTGAAGGTTATGAAAAATCTAATGTTTCTATCACTAATGTCTGAAACACACAATGTATATATTTTTGGAGTATTTTTGCTGACAAATAAATAACTACGAATATATATGTATATATATAGCTATACATAGCTTCGTTAACATATGACTTCAAAGTTTGATCCTAGACTAATTATACATACAATAGTGTTCTTTACATAAATAGTACAATTCAGATTAAAGACGCTGAAACTGGAAGACAATTTTGTTCTGCAGACTTGAAGTACACAATAAATATTCGTTTGTCAATTATTATTTTTCGATTAAAGAATTCTAATCGCAAGGTAAAAGTAATGGTACACTAGGCTTACAATTAACAAATGGGGCATAAAGTTTCGAAGCCGAGTTGCACCGTTCTTCATATATATTAACTTCTGGCGAGCGAACCAACTCTGTCAAATGTTTATAACACATAGGAGAGAAAATTGCGCTCAAATTATATGAGTCAAAGATTTTTTTAACAATTCTCAATAGGCCCATACCGCTGTCTGAACCAGGTCATTCCCCTATAATCTGGCTCGTACACGTCCGGGATTTCCTTGTCGATCGCTTCACAATACACCATTTTCACGGAGGCTTCGCCAAATAATCTCTCTTCGTATTTTATTAACTGCTTAAAGAATCCAGTGTTCGGTCGTATTTGCGGCCTGTAAATGATTAATTACGTTTACCTCAGTTAGGTTTTGTTACCAAAGTACCAAAATATTAAAAAGTCGGTAAGGTTTACGAGGGGATTAAACATTAGTACTAAATATAAATAGTTAAATAGTAACATAGTTAAATCGCTAGAGATGATGGCTAGCGGCCGGATGGGGGGGTGTCTTTGATCCCTTGGAGGATGGGACGATCTTTGGTATGGGATGCTATTTGTGTGGACACGTTAGCCCCGTCTCTCTAGCATATCGTTTCTCAACCATTTTTATGTCGCAACCCACGAAAAAGCCATTTTATTGAAAAAAAAATAAGCTATAAGTTTATTAATTCTAGTTATTTATAACAACTTAATATTATGTTTTATAATACTACACTATAATTATTTATTAATTAATTCATAACTTTAATAAACGATTCTTTTATACCTATATGTAGTTTGTATTTATTATTTTTCAACAGACTGCGCTTTTAAAATAAACTAGACCCCAACCTTGAGAAACGATGCCCTAGCACAAAGCTGGCTCGACCGCAGAGCATGCGGAAAATAATAATCGGCTCAAATTTAAGAGTCTTTCCTCCAACTTTGATGGAGTCTCTACTCCAAAGGGTTGTTCCCTTTGGAGTAGAGACTCTTGGGCCGTGGGGTTCAAGTGCACAGGGGCTAATTAAATATATTTAAGTTCGTGTCAGATAGTTATACCGGTCACCCCAGAGCCAGTGCTTTACTAGCTCAACGAATAAGTATCGCAATGCAGCGAGGAAATACTGTAATGGTACACTGCTACACCAAACTTTAAAAAAAAAAAATTTAATTTTCTATTTAGCAATTTTTTAATTATTAATATCATATGTGTTGGAAATAAACATTTAATATTTATTAACGTGTTTCCATATAGAATTAATGGTAACCATAGAATTCAGTCCACGCTTTATAAAAAGAGCGATAGAATCGCGCAGTTTTGGCCTTCACTCTTACTCTTATTCGTCATGATTAACTTGAACCAGTTTTAGAGGATAGCACGTTCAGAACTGTTCAATCTTCTCTTTCCTAAGTATGAGAATTGTATTTACCTTCGCCTTTTCATATGGTGATACGCGTCTCTGAGTGTCATTTTGTGCCATTTAATGAGGTATGCTAAGCATAACGTGACGGATCTTGATACACCAGCTACACAATGAACTAATACCGCTTCATCTCTTGTGACCACCTGTAACAAACAAATCTATAATATTTTCCTTAACACAATAAGAGTAGTCCTTGTATAGATGATATTGATTGTTCACTATACTTTGTGTGCATTATTTGGCCGGGTGGAAAAGTTCGTAGACTAACATAGATTTTTTTATAGGATTTGATTATTGATTATATTTAATTATTCAATATAGCCTTTGAGAGCGATACAAAGGTTTTAGCGGTCATACAATTTTTCGATACGATTTTTATAGTACAATTTGTCTTCAGCCTCAAAATAGGCTTAAATTTCGGTAATTACCTCTTCATCAACGCAAAATTTCTGTCCAGTAAGCATTCTCTTGAGGTCTGAGAACAAAAAACACCAAATTTTCCGGGAAATTTGGTTTCAATAAATAAATGGGTACTTACTTCATTTATTAAGTCAGCGACGCTTTCCATATAAGGATGCATATCGGAATTGGGTGTGTCCAACAGTGGTACATAATGCCGTGGTACATAGTCTTCTGGCGGTGGTGGTAGTTCTGGGGCGGCATTTACCACCAGACTTGGTCGCAGGGTCTTTACAGCGCCGGGCAAAGCGTGGGCTCCACATATGTATACGAAATCAATGACCCGTGATACGCCTAGGGGACAGCCTCTGTAGGAAATATATGCATTTAATGACCAAGCTAAAGAGTAAATAAATTATTGAAAAACGAATCGTCAACCAACTGTGAAACGGAATATTTTTAATTGGGCAACAATTTTCAAACAAGTAAGTAATTTAATAAGCTTCTGCACATCCAATCACACTGGCGAAAAATACTTAATAGACCAAGGCACGAAGTGATGTTGGCAATGTCGGTATTCTGTATATGAATTTCAAGTAACAGAAATAGTATCGTCCTACAAATTGTTTATAAACACTCAAATCACATTCAACATCAATCGAGCTGTTTCGTTCGACTCATTGCATAGCAAATCCCATTTTGTAATTACTTTGACCCAGTTCATAAAATGCTGAGCAATTATCGTCAATTTTCTAGAGGCGCGTGGTTTATTTAATGTAATTAACCTGGATGACCTAATATCTAATGACGATGAACTGTATTGTATAGAACGAGATAATTACACCCTATGGCTTAAGCTAATTTTAAAATCGCATATATGTTGCAGCCAGCTAGCTTTATCAGGCGTTCAATTAACAGCCTCGCCGTTTAACTAACGGCCTGAAAGATATTCAGCCGTAGCTTTTGTTACAACATTAAATAAACTGGCTGGTAAATGCTTAGGCCATTCGTACAATAGAGTCATCATTTGGCAGAAATAAAAACAATTTTATTGTCAAACATAATTATAATAGGGTAATTAGATTGTCACTACACTCTTCCATTGTACTTGTTGTGTTTCATGAAAATTTTGAAAACACCATCAAAGTTGTGGTTTGCCGACGCCATATTTAAAGTTTGAAGAGTTTCTTTTCGAGTTTGAGAGTGGCAGAAAGTGGAATTAAATTAAAATTAACAATCAACAGGCTAGGCAAGTAATGAAACGTCATTGATCCAAGTCATTTGCCTAGCCGTTTAATAAACTGGCTGAACACCTTTCAGGCCGCTAGTAAAATGACGCCGTTTAGTTAAACGGCTAGGCTGTTATTTGAACGGCTGATTAAGCTAGTTAGCTGCGACATATACATTATATGAGATATTTAAACTAGCTTTGTAAATACTTTTTAGTATATTTATTTTGTACATTAAAAACGACATATTTGTTTTATGTATTTTGTGTTTAAAGCTGACGTCAAAGAAGTGTATGTTTTTCAATTATCTATATATTTACAAAGTAGTTTTGGCACTTATAAAAACATCAACAAAGCGTAAACAGTCCACATTCCACGAGGTTGTGTCATTTTGGATTCGAGCCAACCACGTCTGACCCTAACGAACTTGCTCTAATCAGAAAACTACGCATTTGGTTTTGTTTTTACATCTATGGCAAAATTAAGATAAAAAGTTTTTATGTTTTAATTCTATGTAATCTGTAACTGTCATTACTAAAGGCGCGGCTAATCTGTGATCACTTGATTTTAATACTTTGATAATTTTGGACAATTTAAAATAGAAGAATTAAACAATTGAGCGCGATTTAATTTGTGTTTATACTACCTTTGATGCAAAACTTGACAAATTATTTGTCACTTTAATATACCTTAAAATCTTATATTTAACTTCTTTAATTATGACTGTTATCTATTTTAAAGTTAAAAAAACATGTTATGTTTGAAAAATTATTAAATCATATTAAATCATTGATCTCTTGCTACGTGTACTGCTTTAACAAGCTTTATATGTGAAAATATTAAAAAAAATTGTATCCACGTAAACTAAATCGTCATATAATATAAGCTTTATAGCTATTATAAGCTTTATAAAATTGTTATTATATTTTTTCAGAAACATCTGGCACATTTAATACATAAATTGATTAAAAATTATATATACTAAATTAAAAAAACATATTTTGGAACTAAACTTAAAGTGACTGTCATTCATAAAAAGTTATAGAAAACCATTTAATAAATAAACAATTTAGCAATGTATTAAGTAAATTAATTATATAGGGATAAATCATTGAAATTCTTCAAGTACGACTGTTAGAAAGTCAAATTTTATATCAAATTTACACAATATTTATTAATGTGTGAGACTCAGTAATAAAATACCTGTTCAATTCATCCCTTATCTCTTTAGAAACATCTGTCACCACAGAAGGCCTCTCATTAGCAACCCTCGCAACCTTATCTTCGGCCGGAAGAACTTTCATTTCGAAATTATATATTTCAGAATCAGACTCACACTTTCACCATTTATTTTCACTAATCGTGTTTTATATCGAAATTTTTTAACGTGCGCACGCGGCCCAGTCAGAATGCGTACTGGCTACTGAAAATTCACTGGGCTGAAGTATGAATACCTGTATCTCGGATGCCTGCAATATCCGGCATTCCACGTCTATTTTTAAACAATGGAGACTCATAATTTGTTTACGTCGTGTTGTCTTTGGCGAGAGGGTAATTTGTGATTTGTGTGATTATTGCTATGAGGATAAATTTGATAGTGTTTTATATAAATAAATAAATAATAATCGTAGATTATATTTCTTTGCAAGTCATTTTAGGCTTGTATAATATAGTTATAAAAAAGTGAACCTTTGCTAATGGCTCACCGCGAATAGGTATATAATTCATAAGAATAAATTTTGCAAAAAATTAAATAAAACTACGATACACAATTGAGTTTTTTTAATTAATTCTAATTATCAATAATATCTTCCGAAAAGGCAAATATTTTCTTGTGATTTGTCAAAGTTCGGTACATAGATAGCATAAGTTAGTGGTGTATAAATCAAAGCGCCTGGAGACAAATTATAAGCAATGTTTCATTAGGAAACATTAAATATAGTTTTCACGCACGCCTGCGATTAAATAAAATAGGCAATAAAAACGATTTATTAGGAGTATTAAAGCAATTTTAGTTACCTTGGTAGTCACGATTTCAACACAGTTTTGCGTGTGTCACCGCGTAGGTACAATGATTCCAATAATTATCGCTTTGTTAATTTTATTATTTTACTATATCTTCACAAGAAATTATAATTACTGGAAAAGGAGAAACGTGGTACATGATACACCACTACCCATATTTGGAAATCATTTTCAAAATGCTGCTGGATTGAAAAGTTTGACAAACGTTCTGACCGAGCTGTATTACAAGTATCCTGATGAAAAAATTGTTGGCTACTTCAAAGGCAGTCAACCTGCACTCGTCGTCCGTGATTTAGACATCATACGAGATATTCTCAACGTGGATTTTACCAATTTTCACGCTCGAGGCGCAGCATTGAACCCTGAAACTGAACCGCTTTTGAAAAATTTGTTCCACGTCGATGGTGATATTTGGAAATTGCTTCGTAAACGACTCACTCCTGCATTTACGGGTACAAGATTAAAGAACATGTTCCCCTTAATAAGTCAATGTGCAGAAAAGTTGCAAGCGCTTATAGAAGATAAAGCTAAGCGTGGAGAAGATTGTGATGTACGTAACCTAATGTCGCGCTTTACAATAGAGTTTATTGGAGCGTGTGGATTTGGCATCGATATGGATACAATTTGTAATGAAAATTCTGCATTCCTACATCTAGGAAAAGTTGTTTTTCAAAGAACCGGAAAAGATGTCATCCTACTTGGTATAATGGATTTATTTCCACAGACAAGAAAATATATACAACTCGCTGACGATACGTTGTACAACTTGATCGCTGATATAGTTCTAACTGCTTTTAAATGGCGAAACTACAAGCCGTCGGGGCGTAATGATTTTATCGATGTTTTGTTACATTTATCTCAAGAAGGAAAGATTACTGGAGAGTCTATCGAGAAGCAAAATCCTGATGGAACACCAGCCACCATAGAACTCACATTAGATGATGAGCTGTTGGTTGCTCAAGTGTTTGTTTTTTACGCGGCAGGATTTGAGACATCATCTTTTGCAACTAGTGTCACGCTGCATAAACTAGCATTTCATCCTCAAATACAAGCTAGAGCACAAGAAGAAATTGATGAAATCCTTGAGAGTTATGGTGGTAAATTGTGCTTCGAAGCAGTCAGTAAGATGACATACTTAGAAATGGTATTCAAGGAATCCATGAGAATGTTCTCATCTTTCGGTTTCTTGCAAAGAGTCTGTTGCCAGAGATACAACTTTCCTTCACTTGGCTTAACAATAGATCCCGGTGTAATTGTCTTTATCCCGTCACAAGCAATACAAATCGATGGAAAATATTTCGAAAATCCTAGCGAGTTCCGGCCTGAAAGATTTTCTCCTGAATCCACTTATCACCATAAATATTCTTATATGCCATTCGGCGAAGGCCCAAGAGGATGTATTGGTAAGTTATCTTTTATTATGATATTTCTGCATGTTTAAGCATATCGAGATGCTGTATGATTCGCAGCATAGGAAGGATTTCGTAATCAGATTGATAATTTCTAGAATAGTACCACCTTCCTTCGTGTTCTACAGTATGGTCCCCTTTTGGGTAAAGGCCTCCTCCAGAACTTTCCATTTGGATGTGTTCTTGCTTCCTCCATCCATATCTCCCCAGAAACCTTTATGATGTCGTCAGCAAGCTTTTGTTCTCTTCCCAAGTTTCTTTTACCTGGAGGTCACCTTCGGGTGGCATCGGTGGTCCATCTTTTCTCTGTACCCCTTGCAATATTGCACATTGAAGATTGTTATCACCTACAATCTGACATGACAACCATTTAATGAAGCTCATTGACTATTATGACTTGCAATAACTCCGACGAAACCAACTTCCAATAACATTGATACCCCGTATATAAATAAATCAATTTATAATCAGTTTAATAACCTATAACGGTTAAGTTTTAAAGAACCATTTGGGCCAATGAGGGCGGTTGGAATTTGTGAGATCATCCTCTGACTATAAGAAATAAAAAACCGTTATTTATTTTCCAACGTTGATTAATTATTTATTAGTATTTATAACAACCATATATACAGTATTTACAATTTTCTTAACCTACATAGTAATAATAAAAATACAATTAAAAATTAATAAAAACAAATTTAAACAGTTTGGTCCCTGTGGCAGAGTACCTTTTACGCTGGCAACATTTCCTCGCTGTATTGCGATACTTATTAGTTGAGCGAGAAAAGCACCAGCTCAAGGAACACTGGTACTATCTACCTTAATTACCTTTTCTACATTATTATCCATATTAACGCCATCTATTACCGTTAGTTAATATCCTGAAAATCACCCGACGACAAAACTCCCCATTTTAGTAAATGTTCTTATTTCGACACAAAATGCTTTGTTTATCACATGAATATAATTTCATATATCATAATTCGCAGGCGCTCGACTCGGTCAGATGCAGTCTCTGGCGGGACTGGCTGCTATTCTGCAGAAGTTCACAGTAGAGCCTTGTGACAAAACCCCCATGGAACTACCTATTAATCCATGGAGCAACATTGTACAGGCAGTGAAAGGAGAAATACCATTGAAATTAAAGCTTCGGAAGTGATTAACTGTATTATTATTAATTTTGATTTCTGCAGTTTTACTACCCTATTTTATAAACTTATATACATACTTACTAAAGACTTAATACACCAATGAACGACTGAGTAAAATTGTTAGGCGAGTTAGAACTTTCGTATGAACCTGAATTCAAACAATCAAATAAATACATAATAAAATAAGAAAACAGTAGCATTGTTTATAACTTATAACTTTAAAAATCCTATTTTGTATATATAATTTTTTATATCCAATCATTCGCTTAAACAAATTAAAACTTTTATTTCTGACGTGCTAAAATATTTGAGACGCCTCCCACTTAAAGGTAAACAATTTCCTCCAGTCCAGTCATTTTACGATTTGGCATTCTGATAAGGAGGGAGCTTGTAGGTTATTGTTAATTAAAATGAGTTACAGAATCGCAAGTCCTCCTGGGACTTGCAGGATGCAACAATTTACATGACTAAATCTTTTGAGATCTCTTTATATTTACAATATATTTTACATAACTAAATCTGTTTTATCTCTTTATAAAATAAAGTTCACATCACTAAATGCATTGTGGTCTCTTTAAATTCACCATAAAGTTTACATAACTGAATCTGTTTTGTGATCTCTTTTTATTCACAATAAAGTTTACATAAATAAATCTGTTTTATCTCTTTACATTTAAAATAAAGTTAACATAACTAAATGCATTGTGATCTTTTTAAATTCACAATAAAGTTTACATAAGTAAATCTGTTTTATCTCTTTACATTTAAAATAAAGTTTACATTACTAAATGTATTGTGATCTCTTTATATTCACAATAAAGTTTACATAACTAAATGCATTGTGATCTCATTAAATTCACAATAAAGTTTACATAAGTAAATCTGTTTTATCTCTTTACATTTAAAATAAAGTTTACGTAACTAAATGTATTGTGATCTTTTTATGCATTGTGATCTTTAAAATTCACAATAATGTTAACATAACTAAATCTGTTTTATATCTTTATATTTAAAATAAAGTTAACATAACTAAATGCATTGTGATCTCTTAATATTCACAATAAAGTTTATATGACTAAATCTATTGTGATATCTTTATATTTACAATAAAGTTTACATTACTATATCTATTGTGATCTCTTAATATTCACAATAAAGTTTATATAACTATATCTATTGTGATCTCTTAATATTCACAATAAAGTTTATATGACTAAATCTATTGTGATCTATTTATATTTACAATAAAGTTTACATTACTATATCTATTGTGATCTCTTAATATTCACAATAAAGTTTATATAACTATATCTATTGTGATCTCTTAATATTCACAATAAAGTTTATATAACTATATCTATTGTGATATTTTTATTTTCAAAATAAAGTTTATATAACTAAATGCATTGTGATATTAGATTTAGTTATGTAAACTACCCATATTCACAATATAGTTTACATAACTAAATCCTTTGAGATATCTTTATATTCACAATAAAGTCCTACATAACTGAAACTACTGTGATCTTTTTAAGATCACAATAAAGTTTTACCAAACTAAGTCCATTATGATCTCTTTATATTCACAATAGTGAATTTATCATGTGAAATTGATATTCGTATATGTTTTAATTGTACTTTATAATTTATATATTTTTTTGTAAAACTTATGTTTACATTAATTGTCACACATTTAAGATGTAAGATTTTGTAAAATAATTAGTAGATCTAGTACTGTGTGTGATGTCGTAAGCTTATTAACTAAATAAATAAATAAATATTCTAGTCTGTGTCAATTATACGAATAAATAGTGCGCGAGTACAAAGTACACATGTCAAAAGTGAAACTTCTTTGTAGATTAATTATTGAGTAATTAAGCTGTGCAAATCCCATAATTTAATTTTCCCAGTCTTTCTATATTATTAAATGATACCAAGGCTAATTAAAAACCAGAGCTAAAATTAGTTCAATAATATAAGAAATTACTATCATAATTGCTTACTAATGTCCACATTTTGTAAAATAGCCAACTGGGTCTTAGCAAAAGGTCCAAAACCAACAAAAAAAAAAAAAAATGGTAATTTTTTTCCCATAATAAAATAATAATGATATTGATATGTATTAAAAACACCATCGGTGTTCAAGTCTCAATCGCTCTCTCCCTCTTTTCTTTGACAGAAACGCTGCACATTTTCGTGCCGTTTCGTAAAAATTTTACCCTCATGCGCTTCACTTCAGAAAAAATACTTATCGAAAGCACAACAAATACTTGAACTATTACTACTACAACCCTACTTCTTTAGAGTATTATTTTTCATCAACATATTATTTCAACGCACTCAAAACTTACTTATTATATTAAGCCATCACTTTTATTAGGATACTATCACTTCTGGAGATGAATTAAATCTGAAATTACTTTATCAAATAATTTGACATTACTTTGTCAAATACAACCTCATTGGTAACCGATCAAGATCATACAATAATTTTCTTACATTATTAAACTTCATTACAACATTTAATCAATTCTGTTTTAAGATATTTTTATCATCAGACATAATAAAAGTATTTCATATCCATTATTAAGACCAATAATAATAATAAAAATAAAAATAAAAAAAATTTAAACTAACCAAGTATTGATTGGTTTGTAGGGAATACATAATATGTTAAAAGGTCATATGTAATTTTGAATTTCTAAGCACATAGCCACAGTACATAAAAAGAACAACAGCCTTAATAAGCAAGTTAAATTGTCGACATGACGTGACATCGAAGTTTCAGATTTGTTAATGAAATTGAGACTTATGTCTGTTTGAGTCTGTATCAAAAAGCAACCCTTTGTAATATACCCAAAGTGAATTACCGCAAAAGAAATGTCATGAAAGACTAGGCTCTGCAGTATGTTAACATTCAGCAGAGTCTTACTCATTTGAAGTAAATCAAACTTCTTTATCAGCAATGCCAACTTTGAATGCTCCCATTTAACATGGTGCATGTAAAATTGACTACGGGAGGATTACTAATTCCTCCTTAAAACCTAAACTTGCGAATGCTTGGTTCTTATATATTTTAAATCTGTAAGCAGCAAAAAGAAAAAAAATATAATAATATTAATACCTCTTAATATACAGTCTTACTGTGTCGTTGTCCTATCGAGTTATCTTACCAGGTCATCTTTTTCATCTTTGCTAACCTTGCTCTCACTTAAGACCAGAAATACCATCAGCTTTCTAATAGTACCCTGATGCGAGGCCCTGTGTAATACAATACCCATGACTGAAATATTATCCAATTGATTATTATCGATTCGCGGTAGAGGGCTTGTTTGTTGTTCTCATGTTAAGATCAGTCCTTCAGTTCTGGTTTTTTATTTTTCCGTTCCCAGTTTGATACTCTGTAAGGCCGTATTACGGGTAATAAATTGTCGCTTAGCTTTATCTTAATTTCTGTACAAGTTTTAAAACCAATCCCTAAAAATTATTTGAAGAATCCCTCAACAAATAAGTATCTATATTTTCATTCCATTTCCTTATTAACGTTAATCATTAATATATTAACAAATTAACGACTATTCAACAGTAATAGCGCTTTTACTGTTATCATTCTTATTAAATTCATTTCACCATGTCAAAGCGCCAAATGGCGCCAATGTCGGCTGCCATTATCACAATATCGCATTAAGCAATCAACATCAAATTCATAACTATTAATACTTGCGGTATAAACGAAAGGTAGAGGTAAGAAAAAATAGACCGAAGCATTTTATTACTACTTCAATACCTATGAAACTGAAAAACAATCAATGTTAAACTCATCATTTGACACTCAAAACATTTTCGTTTTCCTCTTGAGATTCTAGACATCAAATTTGTTCTGAATCTTTCTTTGAAGTAACGCTACATTTGTCCAATCGATTTTAAGAAATATCTTCTATGTTTGGACTAACGATCTACTAATTGTCTCGCCACGGACTTAAATTTGTAGCCTTTTCGTGAGATATACGTAAACTATCATTTAGACCGTACACCGATACTATTTTGCGTCATCTTACTTTGTAGTGCTGTGAGGCAACGCCTGCGTAGCCACTCGATCTGCTGCAGCTTCGTGGTAAGTTTAACTTACGACTGCCCTATAGCCTGCACCTACTGCATTGGAAAGCAAGCTGCTTTAGTCTCACCAATGAAATAACCATAAAGTTCGAATTCTATATGCCTCGTCCCTAAAACGACTTCGTAACTCAGGACTAAAACCCTGGATTCTTATTGGGTCTAGTCATACTGGAAACAATCGTTACACAAAAGAAAAACATTGTACATTATTACTCCAGCCATCTTAATCTATAAGGATTGGCGTCGATTCTAAGTAACAAAGACACTCTATAAAATCAAATAAATTTTTTATTAATACATATATTTAAGATAGTTTAGAATATTATTCAACGTAGTAATAAAAAAATTGTTTGTATTGATTATATATATAAAACATTTAAGCTTTAATTACCAATAAAATATACTTCAAACAATACGTTTCAATTGAATTTTCGTATAACAAAGTCATAATATAATATTAAACTGACCTTCTACGATAAATGGCGAAAATTATTGTAAAATTTATTACTTTTGTAAATACCTTAATATTAAACTAACTGAACTTCTAAAAATGAATAATTATTTTAAAGTAAATTATATATGTAAAAACCTTATTATAATAACAGTCACTAAATAATTTCTAAAAATGGTATAAAATATATATAAAAAAATTGAAATAATTAGTTCTGTAAAAATATTATAATATTAAACAGACTTGAAACTTCTAAAAATAATAAATTAATTAAATGTAACTTATTATAATATTCAACTTGCCAAATAATTTCAAAAATGGTAAAACATTTATAATAAAGTAGTCTGTAAAAATAAAACTTTATTAAAATATTCAACTCACCAAAGAACCTCTAAAAAAAATGGTAAAATTATTATTATAAAAAATAAATTAGTTCTGTAA